CCCCCAGTTACTTCCATGAATGCTCCACACAAAGCTGTCGAGCTCAGTCCGAGGAGCTTCTTCATGCCCCACAGGCCAGGGAGCTCTCACCAAGTCTTTACTTATCTATGAAGTGATTGCGGTCAGATCGACTCAGATGCATCCAGGTCCGGCCGTAAAAGAGGTCAGATACATTTAAACCACCAGTACCTTTCCCAGGCATTTTGCCAAATCGCGGCAGTTAACACGGAGGCCGCACTTGGCCTCCGGCGGCGTTGAGATGCGTCGCCAAAACTCGGCGCGCAGGGGCCGCAGCCGATAGTCGAGAAAGGTACTGGCGGTTTAAGAGAGAGCTAGTGAGAGTATGGCCTCAGTACTTCAGTTCCTTTACTTTATCTGTGAAGCCTCTCCTTTTCTACTGTGTTACCAGCCGGGCGGCCTGGGTTGCCTCAGATTGGCCCGGGTGGCCCTGGCCGGGTCAGGTCTGGGCAAAGTCCCCAGTCAAGGTCCCGCGCACAGCGCCAAAAAAAGAAAAAAAAAAGAAAAAAAAAAAAAAGAAAAAAAAAAGAAAGAAAGAAAGACAGAAAACCATGTCATGCAGAATTGAAAACCAAACATCTTTTCCCTGAGGGTGACCACGAATCCGAAATAAAAAATAGAAATAAAATACTGAAATATATCATACCCCTTTACGCCCCTTTAAGGCCCTTCAAGCCCTTTCAAACCCCGCTTATACCCCATTGACACCCTTTGGTGAGATATCACCAAACTCAAAGATAAGGCTGGATTTGGGCACGTCTCAGTGGCGCAAAATTGCCCCACTGCTAAAAAAAAACATAAAAAAAAAAAAATTGACCCCCTTTTTAGTGTCGCCCGGCTACCCCGGGCGGGTCAACCCCCGTGCAAGTTCGCCCAGGTCGCCCGGGCCGGGCGACTCTGTTAACATAGCTTTTCTAGCAATTTTTTACATACAAGGAATCAAGCTAGCCTGCAGGTGGCACTACTTTCCAGGCCCTAAGACTAGGCATACGCGAACTAATGATTGGACTCAGCAAAGACTATACCGAGGAGCAAAGGCCTCCCAAAAGCTCAAGAACGAACAAGGGTAAGGACTCGGACTGCCTTTCAAACATCACCTTTTACGTATTGACTGTTTCAGCCCAGGTCAACTCAGTCAAGGGTCCTACACAAATCTGATCGCAGCCATACGATTGCAAGTCTTCCGCTAAAAATAAGGCCTCTATGCTTCAATTACCGCACAGAGAAGCAAGGAGAAGGGAGAGGAAGAGAGGAAGTGAAGTAAGGGTATGAGAGGATGATAGACCAGTCTGAGAAAACAAAAATAGAACGAGACTGAGACAACATCAGCAAAGACGCAGAAAACCAAGTTAACGAAGGAGCGGAGCCCGTAGGGCTAGCCGTCAACTGGTCAGTCCTGTAAGTTATGACAGAAAAGACACAGAGGAGCAGCCAACAAAACAGAGCCCCTTTCTTCCATACCTGACAACGAGATAAAACCAGAAGGCAGGCCGGTCATTCCTGGTTGCAAGCACGACAGATGCCATGCGAATACCGCCACAGATGGCAGTGGGCTTTAGTGTCATCTGCTGATCAAAACTGAAGCAGTCAGTGCAATGGTCTGGCTGGACTCCCTGTCGGTGCATCTAGGCGAAAGACGGGAGTAGCTTCACATTTGCCAGCATTGCGAGAAACCTCAGTGCAAAAATCCGTACTTCCACCCCCATCAGCTCCATGATTACCATACATTGAAGCCACAAGCTACCTGGTTCTGCCTCCCTCTTTGCCCTTGCCAAAGCGCGTGTACACTCTCTAGCAATGATAATGAATGTATTGACTGGTGCACCAAGTGCGTTGTCCGTTGCCCGCAGACAGTCATTGGTCTTGAGGAGCAGGAGCAACACACGCGGCAGTCGTGCCAACAATGTCGAGACCTCCATTGCGTATTGTGCAGCGTAAAACTGGATCTGTGCCTTGTCCTCTTCGGTGTCTGGTATCTTCAAGTGGTCGATCGATGTGTCTATTACATGGTTCCATGGGCGCATTGTCAAGATCCCCGCAAATAGTCTGTAGAGGTCTTCCCCTGCTCCCAACGCCTTACTATGTTCACGGATTGCATTTTCGTCCGAGAATACTAATGCCTTCCAAAGCGACGCATAGTTGAGACGGAGCGAGTCATCGAGAATACGATACAGACCATGATCAAGCAACACGATCTGAGGTCGAGCGAACCATTTTGGAAACCAGAATCGACCAGCCTGTGGCAAGCGTCTCACAAGCACATTTGCTCCATGTGGATCACAGTGCACAAAGCCGTGATGAAATATCATTTCCGCAAACGACTTACTCAGGAGCCTGGCAACATCTGCTGGGTTCAGCCCCATCTTCTTGATAGCGTCTTTATCAGTGATGGGCACACCCTCCATGAACTCCATCGTGAGAACGCGGCTTGTTGACAAGCCCGACAGCACAGTCGGTATGGCAACAAGCGGTGCCAAATAGGGTGACTGGTGTTCAAAGTTCTTACGGCATCGTCTGGAGTTTTCTGCCTCGTGCAGGAAGTTAAGTTCATTGGGAAGACTCTCGCGCACTTCATCCACCAGCCACCCATAGTTCACGGATGGCATAAGGAAGTGCACAAGCTTCACAACAAGTGTGACGGTAGCAATATCCGCCGTGGCTGTGTCGGTGAGGTGCCCATGCTGGACCTTCACAGCAACTTTCTGCCCGTCGTGTGTCTTTCCCACATGGACTTGTGCCAGCGACGCACTGGCCACAGGAGAGTAGTCAAACTCTGCAAACAGCTCGTGGGGTAATCGACCGAATTCAGCTAGGAAAACATTGTGAACCTGGTCGCGTGATGAGAGAGGACATTTGTTAAGCATGCCTTGGCGCATAGTTTTTACGTACTCCTCAGGGAGAAGATAATCGAGCTGTCCCAAGTGCTGCCCAAGTTTGATATAGATGCCTCCATTTCTGAAGCAGAGAGCTTCAAGCCTCTTTGCTCCTCTCAAATGGCATTCATGGAGCACCTTCTCCCTCTCTGGACCATCTGGTATGCCCCTAAGAGAGATCACATAGTCAAGCATCGTTACCAAAGACGTGAAAGTGTCCCTGCTCAACCGTTCAGGAACCGCATATGCCAGCTTCGCTTGCCGTGCCCAGTCATCTCCTGTGAGCACCCACATCATTGCTGCTGCAAATGGCCCCCCTGCTGCTGCCATGGAAAAGAGTTTCCACCTTGTAATGCCACCCTCGCCCCCTGCCTTTACAGAGAGTCCTGCTCTGCCAGGCCCCCACCGAATGCCATTGGATGGGGGAAGCATAGGCTGACCCTGAGTGCCCACAATCCTCCTGTGCGCCCATCCCAATGAAACACCAGTGTACGAGCACTGTTTCATCTGGGGCAGGAAATGCCTTATGAGGGCCCCTTGTGAAGCCCATGAACAAGAGAGGGATACGTGTTTCCTCTCATTCACCAATGTGCAAGGAATGGAAGACCTACGAGCAAAGCAGCATTGCGCCAGTGTCTGGGTGGTGCGCCACCGGGAAGCAAGCAGCAGCTGCAGTCCCGAACCCAGCCCCATCCCAACTGCGGTTCTCGAGTGAGCCAAACTCCCAGCTCTCCCTCGGCCAGATGAGACCGGTCTTCCTCCTGCACACCTACTGCTGTGGTGTGGCCTTCACTAGCGTCGGCGACTGCCATTCTTTTGGAAGTCCATCCAGAGCGCAGTGAACAAGAGAGACATCACAGGGGCAGCATAATTAAGCCGCTATAACTGGTGCCTCTGCAGTATATGACAAGCAAGAAGGATGACCCCTAAGCTTCTGAGCGCCAGATCTTGAGATTGCTCACACCTACACAATGGACAGACACGCAGAAGGGACGATTCCTCAACATCTCATCCCACCGTAAGGACTTTTGCGGTGTTGGCACGCTTACCAAGTGCAGTGACAGCAAGCAAGCAGTCACCACTCTTCTTTTCAACTCTACACAGAGTTGCCAAACTGCAAGTCTGCACATCACAAACTCCAAAACTACTGTATTGCCTATCAGCCCACCAGAGAGTAAATGTATCATTGCCTACTTGGTTCGTAACGACGAAAGTGGAATGACTGCGAACATCAGGTGTACACGCTAAAGGCTTTGTTCGCTGCACAAAGATGAAACAGGGGTCCTTCGAGGGCTGGTAACTGACGTGGAACGGGCTGACAAACTCCAGATAGTCTCACATCAGTGCTGTAATTACCCATGCAGAGGTCTGGGTATTCATGGCCCTGGTTCCCCTCCCACATGATCATGGGAGAGGTTATTGGCAGTCATTTGACAACATGGAGGTACAGAGAGGGCCCTTGTACAACTGCCTAGGTACAAAGACCAAGGGACTGGCCAAAAAAAAAAAAAAAAAAAAAAAAAAAAAAAAGATAGGGGCAGGATAAGTCGTCGAGAGAGTACTCAATCCGTCCCACAGAAGATAAGCTAGGCTTTCGGTCACCGATTGCGCAGTATGCTTTGACTTCAGTTTGTCAATGAACAACACAACAAAGCTGCCCTCCTTACACCTAGCTGCCACTATTGTCCCTCCTCCAAAACATGAAGACACTTCTAAAGTGTGCAGATGGCACAGCAGACAAGTCTGCGTAGTACATTGTTTTCCACAGTTGAGACTTCAAAGGATCAGAACTGCATGCGATCAGATAGCAGAGAGATAGAGAAAGTCTGTGAATCGTCACCGGATTGAAAAGCAAACAGAAAATTAAAGCGTCAATAACCTAAAAACTGGCACACTCGATCAACGAGCCTAGCTCAGTTGGTACAGCCATGAACTGTTGAAATACAGACCAGAGTTCAAATCCACATGCAACCAGCTAAACGAAATGAAATATTTCCTAGGCTGCACCGGCGCCCGGCCGGGCGGACCCCGGCCGGTTGGGCCCGGGGGGGTCCGCCCGGGTGAACCGGGCGACGCAAAAACAGGGCCAGGATTTTTTTTTTCTTTTTTCTGCTGGTGGGCCTGTGCTGCGCTGCACTAGAGGACCCCGAATCCGCAATAAAAAACTGAACTGGGGGGTTGGTTGGGGGGG